TGTTTTCTGTGGCACTTACTCCTGGTTAAGTCTTAAAATTCTTTGCTTGATTATTAACTAAACAGATATTTTGAAAATAAGTTTCCTAGTAGAAGGCCCGTCTCTTTCCCTAAGTTGTTTTTTTTTAGAATGCTACTTTTGTTTTATAATCAATTTATTCTATGGATGTGTTCAAATGACATTGGTTTTCTTTCAGACTACTGATTTACAGTTCAGTTTCATGGAGCCATGCACTTTGACACAAGGCTATTTGAAAATTAAATGCTTTAGAGATGGAATTTGATTCTTGTGGACAGTACTGAGAGTTTCTAATATCCTGCTGAAAGTCACTGTTCAATATTTCTCCGTCAGTGAGCACTGCGAGTGGAGATTAGTTGGCTCACATCTGGTGTCTCTGTGGTCACCTTCCACGTCGTGTGTTATTTCTGAAGCCTGCCTCTGGCATGGTATCCCATCAGGAACACCCAAATGGTTATATGTGGTTTCCCCATAACCCAACATAAAGGGAGAATTTGATCAGGAGAGAAATCTTAGAGCTGGCCTTATGGAGTGACTGGACTGAAATAAGAATTCTGAAGATCCTGATTTGAATTTTGCCTCTGTTAGGGACACACTAAGGGTGTCCTTATACAAGCCCCACTCTCTGCTTCTGTACATCATGGGAGATAAACGTGTATAGCTTTTGGGATGACTAGAGAGTCCTCATAAGACACTTGAAAGTGCCATACAAATGGTCGGTATTATTACTGTGAAGTTGAAACAGACCCAAGGTGCTGTTGCCTGCTTTTCGGACTCCTTTCTTCAAATGCTCCTTCTTGATGCTGAGATGAAAATGTGTGCTTAAGCTTGGGAACGGGGTGCGTGTCCCCCAGAATTGTAGGGAGCAGGATGGTAAAAACAACTGCTGTCGAGCATTATGGGGCGGTACATAAGCAGCACGCTTTGCTTTACTCTGTTATTGTATTGCCCCTCCTGGATAGAACTCTGAGATGGCAAAGACCACTGCTTCGGAAACAGTGGTCTTTGCCATCTCATATTAAGGCAAAATGATGCACATAACTTAGATGCATCGTATGCATGAGCACTCCTCTTTTTAACTTGCTGTTTTGAGCAGTAGGCAGAGCATGGGCAGGATCCCTGACTCTTGTGGTGTCTCCTAATGATTCACAATGGGCAGCAGATGGATCTTGGATTGGTCTGCTTTGTCCACATCTCTACTGGTAGAGTCAAAGAGCAGTGAATGCAGCTTTAGAACATGACACTAAGGATTCTGAAGTATTAATCGGTATTGGCTTTCCTGCTTAAATAGTTGTCGAAGTCCTGTTGCATAGCATAATCCACGTTATAGTTGTCAATCCACTCTTCCCTGGTTAGCCAAGTATTCCCACCCCAATACATGGGGTATGCGTGTGCATACGAAATCAGGGTGTGCGTGCAGCTCTGAGCATCGTGGAAGGGCTGGTTTGTTTACTAGAGATAAAGGGATCAAAGGTTGTGCTTGGTGTACATTTAGCGATGGGATTTTGGCCAGCATGTGTAATTGGGCGGCTTCAGAGATTGTATTCAGTGGGAGAAATCTTGCTGCTTTCATGGTAAGCCTTGGAACACCTTCAAGCTCGTTCAGATAAATAAACTTCCTGGGAACTCAGCACAGAAACTGGACTTTCTCCACAGAGGTTGCATGAAGGACCAAAAGCAACTGCAAGGAAATCTGCTCGTCCCCAACTGAGCGTCACATCCAAAATGCTTCATGGAAAATACCTCCTGCTGGCAATTTCTGCAGCCTGCCTTCATACAGGAAGCTTCTTTCTGCCATCCTGACCATCCCGGTCCCTGTTGTTTTGCAGCTTCTTCATCCTGAACCTAACTCAGGCCTGTCAGGATCACACTTCATGTTCCACACCAGTAAGGCCTACGGCTGAGCCACACCACAGTTATTCTGTGGCCAAAATCTCATCAGGCCGTGGGCTGCCTTCTTTGGTTGCTGCGCATGTCCCTTTCTCCCATCCTCTAAAATGACATCTGGGCTCCAGAAATGAGTGTATTTGTTAGAGTTCCAAAGCAGGGAGCTGGCTCATCCTGGAACTCCTAAATCTCGGTGCAGCGATGGACCCAAGACAAATCAGGCTTTGCTCGTCACTGCATTACTTCTGTTGCAATACAGTAAAAAGTTTGAACAGAAGGAAACCACCAAAATTCCTCTGGCATTTTAAAGACTGACTAGTTTTATTTGGTCCTAGTTCTGAAAAGGACGCTCCACTTTCTGCCAAAGGGAATTTTCTGCATTTACGCAAAGGATTGGTTATGTTGTGACATTGCAGGGGTGGTGCCCCTGTGCCATAGACTGCGGAAGTGTCAAAGGTAGAATGGGCTCCTCGACAACATCTGCACCTGCTGATGGTGCAAACAACACATTTGTAACATGCACTAAAAATTAAAAATACAACCAGTGTGTCTTCCTCTCCCACCTTGTGGTCCAAACCCTAAATCTCAGGGTGGTGGGGAGGGAAAAGTGGTACTTTTGCTGCGTTCTGCAGCTCAGGATGAAAGGGCTTGGAGCTACTAAGGTGGACTGTAGCCTGTCTTTAGGAGTTATTGTCCTTCCTTCTCTTCACGTAACTGGAATGCTGTAACTGGGGGTTTGTTGACCCCAGCAGTCTTCCAGGGCTACAGTTCCCTGATTCTATGGTTAAAGCTCGGCTTTGGCCAGATTTTGGGTACATTAATATGTGATGGGCTATGACTACAAGAATCCCCCAGATAAGTTGGCTAGTGAATTCTGGCAGTTCTGTTCAAAAAAAAGGAACATTCCCAGCTTGTGGCTCCAGAAGGGTCAATTTATGGTTGTGTTTATGGTTTCCATCTCTTCCTCTCCCTCTGGTGGCCGTAGAGACAGAAAGGGCACCTTGAAAAATGAAAAGCTGGTGGCAAATGCAATCTGAAAGGAGGGATTTATTTGAAACCCAGTGTTAAGAGTTCGATATCAAGGGCCCCCCAGAAAGACCAACTAAGTGGGTTTGGACAAAACCAAGTCTGCACTCTCATTAGAAGCAAAAAATGACTGAGCAGAGGTTATCTTTGGACATATTATGAGAAAAGAGGGATGATTAATTGGGAAACAATAATGCTGGCGAAAGTGGGAGGCAGTAGGAAAAGAGGGAAGACCAAAGGTGAGATGGAGGGACTTACTAAAAGAAGCCATGGCATATGCAAGATGATGAGACAGGCGCTAGTTGGCAGAAGGGCGCAATGAATTGGGACGACTGGATAGCCCTTAGTATTTTATTAATTATTTACTTATTTGACCTCTGTAGAGTAATGAGTCAGCCCAGGAAAAGTGAGCGACTCCTTCCTTTTTATCTCTACGTGCCACTTCTGTCATTGTACCTTTTCTAATTGGTCCTTCTCGAAGGTGTGGGCGGGGCTTGCTTCGGGCGAAAAAAGCGCCGCGGCCTTCATGTCGTCATCAACCGGCGCTTCTCCCTTTTCCCTGTGGGCGGTTCGGAGGGAACGCTCCCGATTCGCCTTCACAATTTTCTTCCACGCCTCCTCCCGCCCCCTGCAGGAGTGGGCGGGGATGAGGGTTAGGGTAAGGCCGCTTTCGATTGGGCCTTGCGAACTCTCGCCGGGCCCAGCGCATTGGGCCGAATGGCTGCTCGTCCCTCTCGAGGTCACGTGGGGGGCGGGGCTGGCAGGCCCTGCGCTCTGCTCCTATTGGCTAGCCTGGCTTTTAGCGGCAGGGCGCGGAGTGGGCGTCTCCCGAGGGAAGGGGCGGAGCCGAGGCGGTTTCGGCGCGCGCGCGCCTTTTCGTTTCTTGTTTCCCAGGCCAAAGTGGGGAGTGTGAAGCAGAAGCCCTTCCATCCTCCCCTGACCTTGCGCTGCGGTGGTGGTGCTGGTGGTGCGTCCGGGTCTGTGGGCTCTCTAGGACTCCCTCCGCATGGTGATCTCTGGTCACCTACCACTCCTTCCTGCAACCTGGTGGCCTCCAGATGTGCTGGACTACAGTTCCCATAAGCCCCCAGCCTGAAGCATGGGTGGCTGCAGAAGGCTGGCCTGACCAGTCATACCACCTGCAGTTTTGACAGGAAAGAGGGGGAAAAGTCCAGCCGCCCATTCATTCAGGCCCCCCCCCCCCCCCCCCGGCCCCCGCCCCCCCCCCCCGGATCCTCCTGGCTGGCGCCTCCGACGAGGGGGAAGGCCTCCCTCCCCTCGACCCTAAAGGGCCGGGTGGGCGCCATCTTTGGTTGTCGAGAAAGAGGCGACCAACCCATCCAGGGCTTCAGATCCTGAGCCGGGCACGAAACCCAGCAGCAGCCCCCCAGGTTTTTTGGGGAGTTGTTTGCACGGTTTCCGTACCTTTCTCGAGACCTCCCCTTGGTCTGAAGTCTTCTGGCCCCGGGAATGTCTTTACTTTGGCGGGTGGGGTGGGGAGCGGGCCCTAAGAGGGATCCTGGCTCTCCCCGCCCACCTCCATGAGGAGGAGGACAGGACTGTTTGTGGGGGGGGATGAAGGAGGGGAGGCCTAAGGGGCGACTCAGAATTGAGGGAGGTGGCGAAAGATTTGGCTGCTGGGACCTCTTGGCCTCTGGGCGAGCAGTGTGTGTGTGTTTGTGTGTCTTCTGGCCTGTCAGCTGGTGAGACCTGGAAATGCGCCCTGTGTTGCCCTGGGGTTGCACAGGAAAGGGAACGCAGAGTCCAAGGAAGTGAGAGAAAGCACAAAACAGGAATAAACCCTAGAATAGTAAAATAATAGGGCAGGAAGGCGTTTAGAAGGCCCTGGAGCCCAACCCTCTGCTCAAGGCAGGAATCCGAATCAAAGCAGATCCAGAGAGGGGGGGGCTGTCTAAAATGGGGTGTTGACCCCATGAAATTCCCCAGGAGGAGGAAGCAGGAAGCTTCAGCCAAGGCCTAAGTGGGCAACCTTTGGCCCTCCAGATGTTGCTGGACTTGGAGGGGTTACTCAATGGGGAGGTGAGAGTTGCCGCCCACCTGCCTGTTGAATGCCTTGGGCAGCCGAGCACTGGAAGGACCGGTAAGATCATAGCAGTTGCAAAATTCCGCAGCCTAAATCCAGTTGCTGTTCAGTTCTAATCCGAATGGCCTAAGCCCCTTGAACCAGCTGCTGCTGAGTAGTAAGTCAAGAAATATGGAGACACCAGAGACATCTGGTTATTCTCATTGAGATCAGCAATTGAATGGAGGCTGGTGGGTCCTGGTACTTGAATGAAGTTAAACTTCTCCCGGAGGCACTTTATTCCCAAATCTTGGCGAGGTGCTCCAACTCTGTTTTTGCATGGCTGTTTACAAATGTTCTTGCTTTTCTTTCTTTTGGGAGCATTGAACGTGATTATGCTACCTTGAGGAACACTTTTTAAAATAATCCCCAATCCTGATTATGGCTTTCATTACCTTTATATGAGAGGTGCTCTGCTAGGATTCAGAGTTCTGATGGCCCCAAGTCCCTGATAGATCCTGTCTGTACCATTCCCTTCATATGGAGATTAGCTTGTTAAAATGTCAGGCAAAACCAAGAAGACAAAAACAGTGTGACACCTTGATAGGCTAGTTTGTTAAAAGGATTCCTGGAGTCCGAGGCTGATGAGTGCCTTCCAGAATGTGGGAAAAGCCTGTATGGCTCTCCTTGTGCCGATGTTCCAATTTAGATCTTTTATAACTTACAAGGTTGTCGGCCTCTGCGCTAACTTGGAAGCGCTGAGTGTTTCAGTCATCCAAGTTAGATTGTGTTTTGATTGGTCTGTTACGGGAAGTCATGGCCATGATCTGTGGGGTGACAGTAGCATTTCTGGATCTTTATACAGTTCAAGTGAAAACTGTTTGCAAACCTTGGAAGCGAAGAATGTCAACCTGCAAAGGACATCCTCTTCCGACTCAACAGATTCAGGTCGGTATCCTTCCATCGAGGCGTTCGGTTTTGTCAGTGTTAATGCTTCAGTACACTTGAGTTTGGAAGGCCATAGTCAAACTGGCAGCTTTACCTGCAAAAGGGCCCCCTGGTCAATGGCGTCAAAGCCACTGAGAGGTCCAGCAGAACCAACAGGGAGACGCTCTTCCGGTTTATTTCCTAGAGTACGTCACCCACCAAGGCAACTAAAGTTGTTTTAGTCCCATAACCGTGCTCTGATGCTTCCTGTGGTTTCTTGATTTGATTAGACCGTAATCTGCTATATTTTGTAATCTGTAGTTTTTAAAAAATGTTTTTTTTATTCTGGTTTGATGATAAATGATTGCTTAACTTTTCCTGAACAGCTAAACTAAGGTTGGTTGTTACACACACATGTTGTGTTGTCGCAAGCAAGCTTTGATTGTGTCATCTTTCTATGTGTATTATGGAGGTTACTGAACTAATCTGTGGTTCTGTGCTGTAATTTGTCATCTTTTCCCCCCCATGCACAGGCTGCTGCATGGATTCTCCTATTCTGTTTGGTATAAAAGATCTTGAAGACGAAAGGTATGTATCAAAAGTCCCTTCCCCCTTTGCTTTGCTTGTACAGTTGCTCCTGGAGCAGTTTTAGGGAATTTTAGAGGTGGCCAGATTGGAGAGTTTTTTCTCCATTTTGATCCAAAAATGAATTTGCAACATTGAGAGAATATGGACTGCATTCAGAATATTTTAGTACTCTGAATGTTGTTGTAATTATTTTTCTTGAGTTCTTTTGCTGAGGCTAGAGCTTTCCTTTTAACGATGCTCTCTAGGCATCCCTCAGTGTCCCCTAACATCACGAGTACGAATAGTTATACTTTCTGTCCAGGTATCCTGCCTTAAAAATTGCCTCAGTTTGTGAATCCAGGATGCGACTCTTGCTTTCTGTTTTAGGTTTAGAGTATGGCTTGCCTCAATCCGCTTGTGTCACTTTTTTTGCGAGGATGTGGCGTATTGTTAACTGTGCACATACTTGGCAAAATAAATGATGTTTGCTTGTGTAGAATGTTAGCTTCAAGACTGAGACAGGACCAAGTGTTTTTTCGTCCAAAGTCAGTTGCACAGTAAAGCTTTAATCCTAGACACATGGGAGAAGCACACTTTGAAAATTTCAAACATTCTGACTGAGGAGTGTTCAATTGTGGTCTGAACCCTAAGGGGCTACGAATATCTCAGGTACTCCTCCTAATTCCAGACCCTCCAAATAGAACCTAAATGGCAGGCACAGGAAGACTTTTAGAATTGATTTCATTGTCAGGCCAATATACAGTTCTGTTCTGCTAGGCTGCCTGTGGTTGAGCACTCGATTTGACTCTGACACCGGTTTGAGCCCTATGGATGCTCCTTGAATGGGATCTGGCTTTCCAGATATTCACCATTCTGGAAAAAATCTGAGTTTCTAAGCCTCAGAGCAGGAAGCCGAGAGGCAAAATGTTTGGCATGTTATAACGTTCATTACTCTTCGCTCTCTCTCTCTCTGCTCTACTTAAATTTCTGGTGCCCACCTCATCCTAGGCCACCCTCAGAAAAGAATATCTGAAGGCCTGTCTCTGGCCGAATAATCACACCCGAGCTACAAGATGGGTATCTTAACGGGGTGACTGGCCTGCCGTCTGTTGTGAGCAACAGAACAAGAGGTGCCTCGGGGGGGGGGCTATGGCTTTCTCATTCTTGGCTCCTCATAGGCTTTGTCAGGCACCCTCTCAGTTTTTAGAGAGCCTTCTAGAACCTGCAGATTCCACAGGGGTTTTCGCTAGTGCTTTATTTAATTGCTGTTATTTTAATATGATTTTATTTAATGTAATTTTATTCTCTGTATTCTCTTGGGGAAGATGGGAAAGAGAAATGACTGAAGTCTTATCAACGCAGAGAGCGGAGGGGTGGGAGAGGGTCTGGCTAGCTGAGGCTGACCCGGTGCCCCCTTCCTGGCCAACCGTTAAGCTCTGCCCCTCCCACTTTGTTGGGTTTTTCTGTGGGTTTGGCTCCTGATTCCCTGTCAGAATAATTGCTTGGATACTGAAATTCAGTATGAATACATTTTAAGGGGCCTGTGTGTGTGTGTGTGTGTGTATCTTCTCCTTGTAGTTTTCGGCTACCCATGCGAAGGATGCATTCTCTCCCGGTAAGTAAAGCTTGCAGGGGTGGTGGTGGTGTTAAAGAGCCTTAATTATTGTTGAGTGGTATCATTTTCTCTGCTTTCTAGCCTAATGGGGCCTGGTCAGATTGGGGAAGCCTGACATGTAAAGCTTGAAAAATTCCCTGGCCTCCTCAGTGTAGGCTCTGGGAAATTTTGGTTTAACCTCCAGGGATTTGGGAAAGTGCCGGGTTCTGCCGGGTCCCTCCTTAAAATGGCGCTGGTTTGGAAAAATCTGAGGCTGGGACCTTGGAAGATGAGGTCGATAGACAAACCTCTGCATGAGGCATAAGCTCAAAGTGTATAATTACTGTACAGTGGTGCCCCGCTTGATGACTATAATCTGTTCCAGCGAAATTGCTGTAGAGCAAAATCATCGTCAAGCGAAAGTAAAAAACCCATTAGAATGCATTAAAAACCGGCTAATGCGTTCTAATGGGGGAAATACTGTACCTCATCGTCCAGAGAAGATCTTCCATAAGGTGGCCATTTTCTGATGCCTGTATAGCGAGCAATCAGTCCTGAAAACAGCGGGGAGCCGTTTTGAAAACCCGACGATCAGCTGTTTTTGATCGTTGTAATGCAAAAAACCGGTTCCTGAAGCAGGGAACTGATCGTGGTCAAATGAAAATCGCCCATAGAATCATAGTTTTGCGATCGCAATAGCAGTCGCAAAAACATTGTCATCAAGCGATTTCGGCGTATAATGAGGTAATCGTCAAGCGGGGCACCACTGTATGTATTCCAAATGGAACCTGCAGCAAAAACACAGCCAGTGTCTCCTTGTTCTCACAGGGCTCTCGTCCTGGTTTCAATTAGCTGTGCGTTCCAATGTGGGACCCTCCTCCCAGTTTTGTTTGTTCCTGTTTTCAAGCTATATGCTGGGGGGTAGGGGTGGATGCCTGCACCTGTCCCTTTTCTCTCTAAGTTCTTGGTTTCATTTCTGTCAGTAGGCACCACCTTGGTACACGGTGGGAGTGGGGAGGGGGGGATCAAGTGACACAAGGTGGAGCCTGTTGTGAAGAGGGTTGCTCTTGTCTTTAAAGTGCCATTTTCAAAGGCTAAGGTCTTCTAGCTTTATTTTGATGGTCAGTGCAGGGCTCAGCGAAGACACGACAGGATCAAGTCGAATCAAGTTCCTGTCAGTTGCTCTTTGAGACAAATTGGAGGGGAGGGGGAAGAACCCTGACTCCGGATGTGTTTTTTCTCTACTGTACAGCAAAGTCTTCTGGGGTGCAGTCCGGCTCTAAAAAGGAGCTCGTTGGATATGCTGGGCTGTGACGTCTTCCAGGCCTGTGGCTCCGAGGAAAACAAAGAGAATGTGAGTTCATGTTCAGATTCCGAAATGGGAGAGGGGGTTGTAATATCACAAGTGCTGGCAAGAGTTTAGGGAAAGCAACCTTAACGTTCCAATGTCTGTCCTTAAAGGAGCCCTTTGAATTCAAGAAGCCGAAAAAACCCGCTTCTCGCAGTTGCTTGCGTACTTCTTCCCTTGAAGAACAAACGGATCCTTCCGAGTTGAGGCAGAAATCGAACACTGCGTTTATAGTACGTATACCATGGTCTGGGCTTGGGGGAAATGTGCCAAAAAAACAAACAAACCAGTGCCGAGCAGGGGGGGGTGTTCTGGTTCTCGCAGGGTCACCCCTGGCAGTAGTACGGCTGACGAACCACTGTGTGCACAAAACGCAGGCTTTCTTCAGATACACAGAACGGATGCCAGTCTTGGATGTGATGGATAGAAATTTAAGATTTCTAGCACTGAGATGCAGAAGGGTCAGGAAAAGCTGGTCATAAACAGAGCCAGCTTTTTCTAGCCACGAGACACAAGACTCCAGTCTCAGGCTAAACTGTACAAGCGGATTCATCCTAAGCTTGTACGTTTCTGAGATTGGTTAAACTGTAGAGAAAGAAAGGATCATACACTCCAGCCCCTGCTCAGGAGGCACAGGCACTGAAGTATAGAGCATTTTGTTCCAACAATAGTCCAGCTTTGCAAGATGACTCCTTATCTTGTTCAGAATTGTTTTCAGAGGTTTGCTAAAAACCTGCATGTTAGAAAAGAAGAGAGAAAGCCGGCTTCTGAACCTCTGTTTAGTGTTGAAAGCATGAATTTGGAAGCAAAGGTAGGATATATCTAGACTAGCAAGAATAGATAGTCATGTAAGTGAAGTGCTTTTTTAAAATGCTCTTTGTTTAATGTGTTTTTGGAATGGTTTAAAACAATACTTATCCACTGGTTTTTAAAATGTGGTATCTGTTTTTTTATATTAAAATTTTTATAAATATTGAAGGTGTTTTAAATTTTTAATATTGTTCTAATAATGTAAGCCATCTTGGGTCCTCGGGCAGAGTACACATATTCTGAATAAATCACGATCCTAGTTAAAATCTTAAAATGTTCTTTGCTTTAGTTTCATACTGGCAAAGCTCCTAAAAATGACGTTGAAAGCTACAGCCCAGTGTTTCTGAAGCAGCGTTCCCAAAAAGGCTCTGGAACAGATGCTGATGAAGATGATGGGTTCTTAGAGTTAATGGATGGTCAGGATGACACGGTAGGGACTCATTATTGCTTTTCGAACATTTGTTTTTTTTACACGTAGGGAGGCAATGCTTTTTGTTGCATCAGCAAATCCTCACCCCTGTGAAAGACTGACATATTTTACTTGGTATAAGCTTTTACGGGTTGCTGGGGAAGGGCTGACTCGCTGGGCAAATGATTGTACACAAAGAGGAATAAAACATTCTGGGATGGGGGAACGGAAATACAGACAAGACACACATTGATTGTTCCTATAACAGTGTTTGTTAACAGTAGCAGTAGCACGGCAGGATGTTATTGTTAATGTGGGTTGACTAGAGCGCATACATATAATCCCTGTTCAAGCTGCAAGTGGCAGAGCTGAGCCTGATACAGATAAGTATCAGTTCTGAAAAATCCTGGTGGCCGAACAAGGTCATACTTGCTGTTTTTCTCGCTGGGAGGAACAAAACTGTTCTTATTCCAAACCTGGACTGGACGCTAAATAATTAATTTCAATTAGGATACCCCGAGCTGGCGTTCTGGGACCTGTTTGGAGAGAACACCTGGCCAGAAGCCACCAGCAAAGCCATAGAAAGGGCCCACGTATGAATTGGTGTGGAAAGATTCCACACAAGCATCCGGGGATCTCCTACCAACGCTCCTCAGACTGAAGAAGCGGCTTGGAGGAGGAGTGAAACGTTTCAACCTCACAAGAAAGAAGGCCAGTGGCCATGACTCCACTTCCAGATAACCACACCTGGAGGACTGAGCATCTTCCCAGATGGGATGATCTTATAGCACCAAATTCCAGGTGCAGGGAATCGTGACCGCCTTCTTTCTTTTAAGTCTTCCGGCATGGCTCTCTTGATCACAGCCTGAACTTAGACGGAGCTTATCCGCTCCACAGTTCCAATTTTTTTTTTTTTTGCCTGGGTTATTAATCTGCGGTTCAGGTTCATTGATTGATTGATTTGATTTCTATACTGCCCCATTAGTGCAAGCATGACTCTGGACGGTTTGCAAGTTAAAACCTAAAAGGAGATGTTCTGGGAATTACACTGGGTCAGAAATGGCATTGTAATTATGCTCTTTGCCCTTTGAAACTGCTGCACAGGGTCCAGCAGTGGTGAAGAACGAACCTTCCCACCTCCTCTTCGGTAGAGAAGGGGCTGTTTCTTCATCAGCCTTTATCAGCGCCTGGGTAGACTTCTAAGACACCTAGAATGTTTGCTTAACACTTGAGTAACTGTTGTACCTATGTACAGGTATGGGTTTTCTGCCCGATAACTGATCAGGAGGATTCTTTCCTTTAGAACGATGACGAGAGGCCTTCTAACATGGCAAGCCTCTGGACTTCTCCTCTGGTTATGAAGAAGGAAGAGGACGCCCACGTAAGTTTAGCTGTAATCTCGTGGAGGTTGAAGAAGAGCATTTAAAACAGAACCCGCCGTTGCTTCCAGTGTAGCGTACAGCGCAATCTGTGCCTCACGCATTGTGGCTCCCAAGCGATACTGGTGTGTTGCACTCGATATGGAGAATGTGGTAAATGACTTCTCCAGTAGTGTAAATTCTCAGAGCCTCGCTTGTCTCCTTGGCAATTGGATTTCTGCCCTAACGTGTTTTCTGGTCTCTGCCCGTGGCCAGTTGAACATTCTGCCTGAATCTGAACAGCCCCATCATTCCCCCATAAAGGCGCTTCCATGAGTGTTTCAGTTTTTTTGGGTTGCTCCTTTGGCATCCCCATCTCTCTCCAGGGGGAGCTCGGTGGTTGTGAGCTGAGCAGCGGTCTTCCTCCTTTGAGGGGAACCGGCTTGCTCTGCCGGAGGATCAGATCAGGTGGGCAAGTGACTGTTTGCGGCCAGCTTTTCGGCTGATGCCTTGGGCGGCCTGGCAGGGCTCACGCTGCTCCGTTTTTTTCTCTAGAACAAGCAGTACCAGGTGTCGCACATGGAAGGCAAGTCCTACAGCGTGGCCAAGCTTGCCCTGAAACGAATGGAGAGGTGCCAAGAAGAGGGTGCGTCGGGTTTCAGCAAGAGGAGGCGAAATGCCAGCGGAGCCCTTCCCGAAGAGCAGACGGTTGGTGGCTGAGAACCTTGCGCGCTGGGTCCTACCGGCTGAATTGCCGCGTACTTGTATAAGGCTCGAATCTGAAGTATAGATAGCACACTGGCCTTGGGGTGTGGGTGTCCCCGGTCCAGTTGGTCACAAACCTTCCCCCCCAATGGCTGTGCAGAGAGCATCTCTGATTGGCCTGTGCTCCTGTCCTGGGTCTCAGAAAAGGGGGCTTGACGAGCAAATAGGAACCCAGGACAAGTCCCTAGGGAGGCGGCCACTGTAAGGGATAAGGCCGGTTCCAAGTGCCTGTGCTCACTGACGTCTAAGGACATCGAGAAGGGTCTGGAGGAAGACCCGACAGGGAGGTTAGGCATGGCGACGGGAACCTTCTTTCCATCCAGAGTCATCTTGCCTTGGAGCGATTGTGCGCAAGTGGTGCCAGAGTCGCTTCCTTCTGTCTCTTGAGCATCTTCCTAGAGAAAGAGAGAAGTAGAATGGTGTGGCGAACCTAGCTTTTATTGCTCCCATTCTTTTTCTCTAACTTCGCCTACTTCCTCCCGCCATTCCTGCTGGAAAGGGGCAGGTCCGGCATGTGCAGGCTTTTCCAGCAGCTGCTGCGCCTCCTTCCCACCCCTTTCCCAGGAACTCCCAGGCGCAGCACCAGGAAAAGAGAACTCCACCCCACTCCCCTCCCCGCCCGTCTCTCTCGGTCCTCCTCCCAGCAGGCTTTTGAAATTCTTTAAAGTTCTCACGCGGTCCTTTGGTGTCCTGCCTGGGTTCAAATGTGAGGGGGTGCTCTGAGCACACGTCTAGCCCTTCCTCTGCTCCGCATCATTTCTGCATAGGATCCTTCTGTGGATGGAGTGTGGAATGGACCCTGCCATTGGCTTCTCACATCTCTTCCTTTATTTTTGCAGAGTTTGGTTGTGGCTGGACCACAGACCTCCTCTTCCTCCTCCTCCTCTTCTTCCTCAGCAGAGATAGAGAACATTTTGGACAGTGATCCAAGGGACCTTATTGGAGACTTTTCAAAGGTAACGCGGACTCCTCCCCCTCGCCCTCCCCCCCGGTGGTTCCTCAAATGTGTGTCTTGCCGGTCCAGCACTTCTCCTCTGTGTTCTGTGCTGAGTCTCTCCTGCTTTCCTCCCTCTGAGCCGGGTTCTCTTTTGACTGTTTAGGGTTACCTTTTCAACACTGTAGTTGGGAAGCATCAAGACCTGAAGTACATTGACCCAGAAATGGTAAGTAGAGCGTGGTTCACGTTGCGTGGCTGTTTGCTTTGCTCGAGTGCTAAAGAGTTTTGGGTACACGCTTTCCGAGGAAGGCAGTTTGGGGGGGGGGAGGGTTCAGGATTTACCGGCATGGCTATGCTAGTTTCCTAGTTAACGCGCAAGGCTGCATGAGCATACAGACTGGGACAGTGGAGGTTTCATGTCTGACTGTCATTTCAGATGGTTGCCGTCTTGAATGGAGAGTTTTCGAGGTTCATTAAGCAGTGTGTGATCATTGACTGCCGATACCCCTATGAGTACGAAGGAGGCCATATTAAGGTATGGAGAGAGTGCTGGCAGGCAAAGTTGGCATCTCAAACAGTGCGGGTGGTAATTTTTCACATTTGCCAAGAGTGATTCCAGATGTCAGGCAGTCCAGCATGATTTTAGAAATCATGGTTAAAGTATTTATTTTAATTTTTTGAACTTCTAGACCACCCGTCTGACCGATGGTCAATTCTGGAGGGTGTACAACAGTAGAAACAAACTGTTGCCACATCTATCATGGAATGTACAAAAAGCTAAAATGATTGGGATAGCTTGTGAAGCAAAGCAAAGCACGCTGCTTTTATATACTGCTCTGTAGTGCTTAAAGCATTCTCTGGATGGTTTACAATTTAAGTATGCAGGCTACACATGGCCTCTGCCCTCCCTCACAAGCCGGGGCGCTCCGTTTACTATCTTTGGAAAGCTGGAGAGCTGAGTCAACCTCACACTGGCCACCTGAGCCTGCCAGGATTGACCTCGGGTTGTGAGCAGAGTCTTTGACTGCAGTGCTGCAGTTGAACCACTGCACTATGGAGCTGCTTGTGTTGATGCAAGGCCCTTGGGTTATGGCTTGGGCTGATGTAGGCAGGCAGGAGACGTGTCTGTGTGGGGCAGCTTGAAGCATGCAATCACAGAGGGAAAGCGCTCATTCTGTTTTAAATGTTGTGGATGTCACTAGCCCTTCTCTGGTGCCCCTGAGAACGGAGGTGTAGCTGGTGACGATCAGAAGGGGTGTGTGTCCTTTTCTGCAGCAAGGCCTCCATTCTACAACGCCTTCTCCAATTCCCTTCTCTCAGTTCTTGGCTCCTCAGTTCCTTTTAGCGCTTACTGTGGTTGTGTTTGTGGGTTGGAGAACATTGGGAGAGCAGGCAGGCATTGTAAAGAACGACTGCCTCAGCTGTGCAGAGAGATTGGAGGCTACTGCGTGGGTGGTCGTGAAGGAGCTGCTGACTTCATGGCCCCCTTATATTTAAATGGGGAATGAAAAGTTAGCAAATATATATAAGCTGTTCTCTTTTTATGTGCTAAAAGGTCTGGAGTGCTCTGGGGCCAGCAGACAGGTGGTAAAGCCACCGTTTGGTGGGGAGGGCGATGTCTTTGCCCTCAAGCTGGCCACTGATCTGCTTTCTTGCCTGTGACTTCCTTTCCAGGGTGCCATAAATCTTCACATGGAAGAAGAGGTGGAGGACTTCCTACTGAAGAAACCTCTCGTCTCGTCGGACAACAAACGGATCATTATAGTTTTCCACTGCGAGTTCTCCTCGGAGCGGGCCCCCCGCATGTGAGTGCGTCTGAGGCTTTGTGCTCCTCGCCGTTGCGTGGATGGTGATCTTTGCTTTGTGTGCAGCTGTTCTCAACAGCTGGTGAGCTCAGCCTGTCCACGTACCTTAGCTCTGGACAGGGGACAGGGTTTGTGATGGCTTGTGCCGTTGCACAGAACATTTATTTTATTTTTATTTTTATTTTATTTAATTTATATGCCGCCCACACTACCCAAAGGTCTCTGGGCGGCTTACAGCATGAGATGTGACACAACTCCCCATGTCCCCAGAAGGACTGGATGGCTCTCTTGTGCCAAAAGTCACCACCTCAGATGGATCAGGTTGAACCTGACAAATGTGAATGCCGAATTATTGGGATTGGAGGGGTCAAAGGTTAGAGTCATGGTCCAGAGACTTAGTTTAAAGGAGGTTGGCTCAGGAACGGCTTTGATTAGGAAGGAAGGCCTTGCTTTGTCTCTGCGTAACCCATGCCTTTCCCGAAAGCTGCCCTGAAGCTTTGTTGCGTGACCCTCTTCCTGCTAGAAATGGCACCGGTCTACGTACCACTTTCTGAAAGGCGTGTTCTGAACTCTCTTTCTGCTTGTTCCAGGTGTCGGTTTGTCAGGGAGAAGGACAGACTCGGCAACGAGTACCCTTTTCTGCACTACCCTGAACTCTACGTTCTGAAAGGGGGCTACAAAGACTTCTTCTTGAAATGCAGAGTAAGCGTCACTTCAGTGAATCTGGCATTTCTGTGGCTTGTGTGCCCTTCAGATGTGGGTGATTCCGGTCCTTTGAAGCATCCATATCCTGAGAATGGCCCTCATTAGGGCCGGAGAGGGGCTCGGCCTGAGCTCTTGGGAGGGACAGGGGTTGGCAACATGGATTAAGGGTCTGGCTCGGCACCCTGCTTCAGATATAATGCCAGACCGTGTGTTTGTTCCCTTCTCCCCCACCCCCGCCTTGCTGGCTTGGATGCGACAGGAAACAGATCTGGCCAAACCCGGAAGGTAAACCTACCCGCTGAAGACTGCTTCTCAGATTTTGGAGCCAGGCATAGCTTTTTAAGTGTATACAGTGGTGCCCTGCATAGCGAGGTTAATCCATTCCGGATTAACCATCGCTATTCGGAAGCATCGCTAAACGGAATAGAAAAACCCATTGGAACGCATTAAACTTCGTTTAATGCGTTCCAATGGGCCCCAAACTCACCGTTCAGCGATGTTCCTCCATAGAGCAGGCATTTTTGTGCCTTCGGTAAGCGAGGGCAGGGCGAGAAAATGGTGCGCGCGGCCATTTTGGGTCTTCCGGCGGCCATTTTGGAACTGCTGATCAGCTGTTCCCCCGACATCGCAGTGCGAAGATCGGTAAGTGAAACGCTTACCGATTGTCGCAAAGCGATTTTTGCCCATTGGAACCATCGGTATGTGATCGCATTAGCGATCCCAAAAAACGGATCGCTATGCGAATTCGTCGTTAAACGGTGCGCTCGTTATGCGAGGCACCACTGTGTAGCTCATGTATTTGGCATGATCAAGAAGGATTTCAAAGGCCTTTGAAGCTGCTGCTTGCGTTTTGTTAGCTCCTTGCAAAGTCCTCCAGAGATGCTATAAGACAGTGGTCCCCAACCTTGGGCCTCCAGATGTTCTTGGACTTCAACTCCTAGAAATCCTGGCCAGCAGAGATGGTGGTGAAGGCTTCTGGGAGTTGCAGTCCAGGAACATCTGGAGGCCCAAGTTTGGGGACCGCTGCTATAAGAAATCCATCTTGACCCTGGCCCAACCTCTAGGGAAAGATCATTGCAGGCAGGTGGACTGCAGGCAGGTGGAGACACCAGCTCCCACCCTTGCCCGGCCTTTCTCTTTATACCGAGGGTGAAAGAGGTTGGTAATATGTGTCCTGGTGGTTACTCCTCTGAGGAGTTGGGCGGGATCCGTTTCAGACAGGTTGGATTTTTTAAACATTTGGTTGAGCATCTAAAAACAGGATACGGGTCTCATCTCATTAGATGCTGATTTGCAGAAATGTTTGAAGTGGAGGCGGTCCCGGGGCTGGCTCGTCCTTTTTAGCGAAGGGTGCGTGGGGTGCAGCTCCATAAGGCGAGGCGTCTCTGGCAGGTTGCCTGGTGGCCGATTGTAGTCCCACCTGGGGAAACACCTCCCCCCGAAAGATCCCTCATGTAAAAACTGCCATTTCTGGAGGATTCCAGGAGGGGAAATGGATCTTCTCCCCTTTTTAAATATTGGCGCTTGTAAAGATGTACCTGGGGGAGCGCCAGGCAACCCACTGGCCTCAGCCACAGGCGCGTCGTCCTTTAATCGCGCAGATCTTGTGAAAACATTACGGGGAAGCTTCTCGACTTTCCGCCTGGTGAGTGTATTAGTGGCAAAGGCTGTCCAGGTGGGTTTCAACTTCCTGCCTACGAGAAACGCCAAAAGCGAGTTGGAAAGAGCGAGTGTGGCCGAGATCAGATGCTAAGGAGGGTTTATGGCATCCTGGAGAGCCTGTGAGGATCTGGTTTGCACGGAGCACTCCGGTCCATTACAAGAGGGGGGGGCGCGCACTGTGGGTGTTGGTGCGACGTGTACAGCCAGTCTCTCCTTTTGTGTCCTAGAGTTACTGTGAGCCCCTGGGGTATCGCCCCATGCACCATGAAGACTTCAAGGAAGACCTGCGCAGGTTTCGCACAAGAAGCCGGACGTGGGCCGGCGAGAAGAGCAAAAGGGAGCATTATAGTCGCTTGAAGAAGCTCTGAGATTTACACATGGAACAGGGGAGATCGGACTCCCCTTCCTTTCGGGACGCCCTGTGACATTCTGTGACCCTCGCTGCCGGGTGTCCCGGGGAGAGACGGCTCCTAGGACGCCTCGCGCTTTGCTGTCCGCTCCCTAGTAACCAGAAAAACAAATGGGGAGCTGGTGGACCGCACCGCTCGAGGTCCCCACCCCGGGCGTCTGCCTTCCTGCCTGGGAATTGAAGGGTTTGCTGTTTGCCTCTGCAGACCGTCGTCTTAAGCAGAGTAAACCGGGGGAGGAAGGATGATGGAGAATACCTTGTGGGGTGTTAATTGTGAGATTTTTTTTTTTACTGTGGATTTTAATATTAAGGTTTTTTTAATTTAGTACTTGATGGCTCTCCACGCTTTTAATTGCCATACAGTCCAACGGAGCCCAGTTGCTCTGTGTCTGTATCGCCCGGAGGGTGCCAGGGTCCTGTTTGCTCCAAAGGGCAGCTGGCAGGACGTGGGCAGGCGAGGAGAGCAAAAGGGGAGCATTCCAGGCACCAGAAGAAACTCTTTTGACGGGTGCGAGTGACTCCTTAGGCTTTGCTACAAGTTACTTGGCAGTGGCTAGTGTTTGAGAGTCCATGAGTCCTCATTTGCACCTGGTGACCAGGCTGAGGTTTGGGGGAAGTGAAACTGAACGCTGGCAAAGGGCTCCCGCCTCCACGAAGACGCGGTGTGAGACATTTCAGCATGTCTGTGAGAGTCCAAGGGTCTGTGCATCTGGGAGAGAGCGGCCCCTGATCTTTGCTTACCCACATTTTACCTTCTATAGGTGTAGTGCTAGACCGTGGCTTAATATCACACGCTATGCAGCCTTTCAGTATTATAATGCAGTTTGCATCGAAGCATTTGGGCCCAGGGCATATAATTTTAGGGAAATACCTTTGTAAGCTTCAATTTTCTGTTCTCGTTTGGTGTCAGTAACAACCTCACCCTGCAAAATGTTATAATAAGAGGTTGTTTGGTAGATTAACCTGAACTGTGTTGGCTTTGAATGGTTTGTTCTGTCTGATATTTGCACAGATGTTTAGAGGAGGCTGGTGGAGCTGGTCCATCGGCTTTTGAGTCATGCTCCAGATCGGCACCAGGTCTGGAAACGCCACCCAGGCTGCCTCTTTGTGCAAAACGAACAGCCTTTTCTTCCTAAATAGCACTTAGGCTTCACCCTCTTTTCATCCATCAGTACCAAGGAAGGGGCCAAATGGCCATAGCACAGAGTTTGGCCCTCCCCCCCATCCTTTGGAAAGGAACCAGCAGCGTGCTGAGTCCTTTAAAAAAAACGCTCTTTGCTGGTTTCTTTGCAAGAATATTTCCCCAAAATGCTTCTTCCTACCTCCCCAAAACATACTTCCTGGCGTTGAAAGGATGCATTGTTTGTTTAAGTTGCTGTTTGGGTTTTTTTTAATTGGACAATTGCACACTCCTTTAAGACTAGGAGAAAATGTGCTCTTCATGTCCTGCAAATGTTTTAAAGGGGGGAGAATTTACAGTGACATGAAAGGGTCGATCAAGGAGCTTCAACTGACTGGCCTCAGGGAAATAAACAGCCCAATACCCAAAATGCTGTGCCTTTTTTATGTTTTGTCTTTGAACAACCGTTTTAATTTATGGTCCCCAGCAAAAAGAAGACCCCCCCCTTCCAGTTATCCTAGTCCTAATATTTTTAAAACCTTTGAATCGTGTGGTTGATGCAGAGCTTATGGAGAGTTGGCGTGTATTACTAACTTTTAATCCTGGTGGCAGTTATTTCATAGTGGGGGCTACGGCGCCCCCCTCCTGAATGCCCAATGACCTCTCCCTTGCCCGTCTTTCCACAGTTAGTATGGAAGGACCCAAATCTTCTTGCTTAGCTACACTTGAGTAATGTGAAGGGCATGGCTTTTGAAAGTGAATGGCCTCAATCTTAAAAAAAAAACACACTCTATAATCCCAGATCAAAATCCTGTTGCTTAGCTTAGTAAATTGCACTAGAGTAGATTCAGCAGTCCACTGGGGATCTGGTGAGTCAACTCTAGTTGGCTCCTTGATTCAAGTGGACTTACTCTAACTGTGACTTGCTGTTACAATAGGCCCCCAGGAGGAGGAGGAGGAGGAGTTGACTAGCCAGATTCAGTGGGCCTAAACCTAGTGCAAGTTGCTCAGCAACAGGATTTGGGCTGCTTTTTGTTGTATGCTGAGATCTGCGACTCGGCAGGCAGCCGATAAATGTCTACAAAGGTTTCTTAGTTGGAGGCCGTTTGCCTCCAGAAGTTACTCCTTTTGAGCCTCTGTGCAGGAGGATTCTGGCCCGCCTCTTGGGACCTCTTTCAGAGGAATGATGCCTCCTGTGGCTTTTTGGTGAAGGGATAACGGATGGGGAACCAGACGATGGGGCTTCTAAGTGGCTTCTTAAGAACATCTGGTGGAAGATACCAAATCGTTCATTTGTTCATTAAAAAAATCTATTACTTAACCAACAGTTCCTTACAAACGTCATTTGTGTACACGAGCGTTTGTCCTTTCTGTCTATGTTAGATTTCCGAGCACAGTCATTTTCTTATGTATTCTGGGGGAGCTGTGACTGGTGCTTTAAATTAGTGGCATGCGGCAGTTACTTGGTTGACTGGTTTGTTTGGAAGCCGAGTTGAGTCTCTCCACCACCACCACCACCCCGGGCTGCTCAGTGCTTCAGTTATCAGCGTGTATTTTATGTACCCCGGCTGCGGGTGTTCCAAGATGCCGTGTATTTTATGTACCCCGGCTACACGAGCCGGGCAGTCGCCAGCGGGAGCGGCTGCGGGTGTTCCAAGATCCAGGTAGCATCTTCTGCGTTCATCTGACCTTAGAGTTGGAGGAAAGAGATGTACTTTTTGTCATTACTCATTCTTCCTGTGTCCCTCTGGGAGAGGTCCCCACTGTGCTTCTCTTTATAGAAGGCGATATGCTTAGGGCCCCCTCTTAGATGTTTGTTCCGGAACAGGATTTGAACACAAGTCACTCAGATTTTATCTCCTTCTCGATGGCACCTGTTAGAAATTCTAATTGAAAAACAGCAGGAGGCAAGACTTCCCCAGGACTTGCTCCCCTGAAGTCTTCGAGGGCAGAGCTCACCCTGCCGGCCAGCAGCTGATCGTCCTGGGCCAGGATCATGGGAGATGTAATCTGGAAGACGCTAAGATTGTGGAAGGCCGGAGCGAGGACTTGAAAGGCGAAGGCGTGGCAATTGGCAGGCAAGTGCTTGTTTTTTGTGTTCATTCACCAGAAGGGGTGTGAGAGGATTGTCTGGAAACGATGGGTCCTTTAATTAAGGCCATCAGAAAGGTAACGAACAAGCGCAGGAGAGAGCAAGGGTGACGGCACCAAGGTGGCGTGCCGTGTCAGGCCTGGACTGCCTGCCCCGTTGTGCAAGTCTTCCCCCTCATTCATGGTGTGTCCTGTGCCCAGCTCTGAAGGTGCCGAGGTGCTCAGCCCTCCTCTGAGCCGGCTAAAATTGCTGGGTGTTTCTTAATTTATGAATGCTGATACTTTTGGCCGCCCTCATCCAGTAAGAGGCCTCTGCTCCGTTTGGGCGTGGAACCTTTCTCCACCACCACCCACTTCCCGTTAAGACACCTCTTTGAGAATGAGACGACGAAATGCAGAGGATGGGCCATGTGGACGTCAAAGGCTGCCTGTGCACCCGGCGAGCAGGGCAGGGGCCCTCCCTTGCCATCTTGGGAGAGAGAGAGGGGGGCATCGTTGGGTCTCTCCTGCTGTTCCTACAGATTGCGTACTGTCGTAGTTTTGCCTTCCTTTGCAGCCCCCAGATGCAAATTTATATTTTTATTCCTTTAAGGGAATGTAGCCTTTTCATTGTCTTTCTTTAATTTCAGTTTTGCTTGATAATTGAGAAATGAAACTGGTAGAATGTGTGATTAGCCCTACTTGAGCAAAGTTTACCTTTTGGCTCCCCAAGAAGCTTTGGCTGACGGCTGGAAGGGAGTAGATGTTTCGCTGATCCCTCTGGTCACCTTCACCAGGTGCTCTTGTAGGCCAAATCCTCGGTTTGTGCATGTCCTGCTTTTCCATACATTTCTGCCCAGTTATTTATGGGTTCTAGCAGAGGTTGTCCACCCCCGGGGCAGGGCGGGCCGCAGAGACAGACCTCCTGCCCCCTCCCCACGGAGTGTGCCTTCCTCAGAGGCTCAGCTGGTCCGCATCCCAAAAAGCTTGGGGACCGCTGGGTTATAGAAAGTTAACAAGATGAAAAATCACTGCCATATCGGCTTATGCCAGAGCAGCCAGGAAATAATGCTTCCTCCCAAACCACTTCATGACAGTCTTCCTTTTAATTGGTGTGGAAATACAGAGAGGGGGAGATCTGCTGCCTTTGAGGAGGATGTTTTCTGTGAGCAACCAAGGTCAACGTGACCTAAGGAAGAAACAGCCTTGCAAAGCAGCAATTATGCTGCTCTGGGCTTAAAACGCCACGGTGCCCCCCAGGATGGGGCTCGACCATCTGTCTGGAGCCATCTGCCCCCTCGCGTCTGCCCCTCTGCTTTTCGGAAGAGGAGAGAGAGCTGTATCTTTGCCAGGGTCCCTTGTCCCTGAGAGCAAGGCTTCGGCAGAGAGGGCTGCAACCCCTCGGCCGGTCTTCTCCTTTTCGGAAAGGCGCACGGTCATCGGCCGAAGGAGAATCTGTTTCGACACTTCAATGTTTGGTCCTCCCCGGAGAGAGGTGGTCACTGCAGTCTCTTCTTGCACCCCAAAAGAATCTTGCCAGGGCGGGTGTTTTCTCATGCCAGAGAACCGTCTTGACATCTTTGTTTGCAGAAAACAGCGCTTAGGAACCGATCCAAATTGCCTGAGCTTCAGGAAGAAGCCGTTATATTGTTTGTTTTTAAACTATAGATGGTTGTTTTTAATTTGCTCTTCTACATCAGGGTAGGGCTCAGAAATTAGTAAAACAAACGGAAAAAGGGCAAAGCCTGAAGAATCCAGACAGCCAGTTCTGGGTTGGATGGGTTTTTTAGGGGTTTTTTGTTTGTTTTAGTTTTTTGAGTTGTGAAGGGAGTAAGAACTTTCAGGATCCTTCTAGTTTCCTGAACATAAACTCAGGTGTAAAAAGGATGTTTAAGAACTTTCACTCGGGGCATTACAGGGGCTCTGGGAGGGCCCAAAATGTGCCCCTGGTGGGAAGGATCTAAGCAATCCTAGCTTGCCCACACATGTCCTCCGCGTGTAACCAAGAGCAAGCTTATTTTTGGTCTTTGGCGCCTAACCTAGCCGAGACGGGAGCCTCTGCTTACACTGGACTTCCGCAAGCTATAGAAGCAGCCCAGTTCATAAAAACGTTTTGGGAGCAACGAAAGGGGCTTAGCCTCAATAGTGATGTACGGGGGGGGGGCCTCTGTGGCCGGAAGAACTTGGGGGGCAAACCAGCACTGAAGGGACTTTTGTCCTTGGGACCCTCCCGGTGGGCTTCCTAGTCATACTGGTTTGGCTTCTGCCAGAAACGGAGGGAGGGGGGCCTTCAGTCTGAGCAGCCTGGCTTCTCCCCCTTTGCATTTAAGAATGTGCCAGCAAACTTTTAATAATTCAGAAGCCTTGTTGCGAAAGGTCCTCTTTGTTCTGGAACATTGGGCTTGCTTGGATCGATGGTGTGTTCTTCAGTTCCGTGGAATCATCCTTTCCCACAGCAAGTGATTTCATCCGGGCCCCTCGTACTGGGTAGCCCTTCCAGAAACCAGCTTCGTGACCTTGCCGGGGTCTGCAGAAAAGTGCATCATGTCCTTACAATGGAGCTCCGTGTAGAAAAAGGCAAAAGGACGACAGGAAGAAGTTGTGGCTGGAAAGGGGGGAACCGCCAGAGTGCCGTGACTTGCAGGTAGAGGTGCATTTAGAGAGGAAATGAAAACCTGGCAGAGCTCAACGCCTTCAACACAACAGTCGTTCCTTGCTCATCATCTTGGAGAGAGAGAGACGAGCGCCATGTTTAAGGCCAATAGCCATTTAATTTCCCTCATGCTTTCTGAGTGACTGATAGAGCACTTCTATGCATGCTTTTTAAATAGAAAGTCAAGTAGTGGTTTGCCCTGGACAGGGTTCCTGAGGCCTAGGTTCAAATCCCTCTTTGGCAGTGAAACTCCCTGGGCGACCTTCTTCCAGTCTCACTCTCAGCGTGATCCTACCTCACAGGTTTGCTGTGCAAAGAGGCAGGGAGGAAGAGTGCTCTGTCTGCTGCCTTGAGCACCCAGGGAGAGGTAGGACATAGATGAAAGAAATAATTCTATATATAGAAACTTGGTCGTTGCTACGTGTTGTCAAGTCGCTCCCAGATTTATGGTGACCCTATGAATGAGCAATCTCCAAAAGATTTTGTCATTAACAGTCTTGCTTGGCTGTTGTAAATTCAAGCCCGTGGTTCCTTGAGGGAGCTGGTCCATCTCGTCTTTGGTCTTCCTCTTTTCCTGCTGCATTCCACCTTCTCTCAGCATTATTTCCCCCCCAGAAAATCCTGTTTTCTCATGAGGTGCCCAAGGCAGGACAGCCTCAGTGTCAACCTTTTTGCCTCCAGAGATTTAGGCTTGATTTCATCCAGGACCCCATGTGTTGGTCTTTGTGGCTGTCCAGGGTATCCCATCCACAAAGCTCTCCTCCAGCACCACATTTCCCACGAATCAGTCTCCTACCTGTTATTATTGACCACACACATTCACGTAGCCTGATAGTCTTCCGTTCATTGAGAATGCTGAAGTGTACTGAAATCCTCTTATTATTATTTAAATTCCTGGGAGTCCTGTAAAGGCACGGGATGGAAGGCTAGATCTTCTGTGCCTCGAAAGAAAGGGGCCCCGGAGTGCTTTGCCCTTTTCGTTCTGTCATCGTTGTTGGTCCTGCTCAGGAGATCAAGTGGGCTATGCGGTCGTTGCTGTTCTAAATCTGCAGATTGAAATCCGGGCTAAAGCCAGCTTATTCCTTAGCAAGACTCTGCGGGAAACGTGGCCCATGCATTTAGATTAATGCCTGGGCTTACCCTCTGACCTGCCATTCCAGTGTTCCAGTGGCAACAAACAACCTATTCCAAGACTAAAAGGACAGTGCCATGACCGGCAACACTCTCTACAGAAGAAGGGGCGGATGGGCGCTGTTCCGATGTACCGTAGAGATCCAAGCGTGGCCCCATGGCCAGATCTTCTGCATTCACTGGTTCCGAGATGCCTCTGCAGTTTTGTTTTTTAAAATGAGCTCTGAAGCAGGTGGGTGCCAAAAGCAGGCAGTTTAAAAGTCAAGGCCGGTCAGAATGGGGTTTTATTGAAAACAAAATAGAATGAAATGGAATTAGTATTAATGGTCAACATGAGGGCCACAGCTTTCGGGAGCAGCCTTGTGGGACACCACAAGGCCCTCCCATCCCTCCAGAATCCTTTTGCAATCACATCTTGAGCTGATTGAGCTTCGGGAAGGCGCTGCCGCTCAGAGAGAGAGAAATGG